GGTGGATGGGGGAACAAAAAGCTGGGTGGGCTTATATAAGCTGTGAAGGATGGGTGGGGGCACTGAACCCCAGGAAAGGGCGGAGGGTGCTGCTCACTAACCTGACTAAGGTGACTACTTCAGGACCTTCACCAGCCTAGAGCGATTCCAGCTTCTCCCACCTCGAGGTGAAGTGCCGGTAAAGCAGCCTTGGAAATAGTGACTTGCTTACTTGCCCAGGAAGTGTTAACGATTTTGCCAGGCAAGTAGAAAAAAATGCCGATTTCATTCATTTTATTCCTTGGGTACTGGAGGCTGGCAAAGCAGGTATGGGCTACTAATGCTTGGTACTTATTTACAAGGCTGCAGTCAGTACTATAAGTTTAGAAAAGTCACAGAACTTTGAAAACCAGCAATATATTAAACTTTCTCGCTATTCTGAAATTAAGGCAGTTTCCTAAGTGATGTCTACTCAAGGATTAAAAAAAAAGTCTCAGCAGCAAAAAGATGAAAAAATTAGTCTTTTATCTCTAACAAAAATCAGGTTCAACTCTATAAAAAAACAGGTTAGAAAAACCAGTTCTTGGCCTTGTTTCTAAGTAGTTCTGGTCTAGCGAAGGGGATAAAATTTAAGCTTTCTCATAAGTTCTGTTATTTCCATAAACAGAATTCCCCCATCCTTCAAAAGTTTATCACTTTATTCTCCCAACTCTTGCAAGTCTTGGCCTCTAAGCTAAGCTAACCTGGGGCATGGGGTGGAGGAGGCGGAGGTAGGGGGAAAGACTGCAGGGAAGACCCCATCGGAGCCACAAGGACAGATGTAGGCAGCGTCCCACTGATATCATCTAGAAGAGAGAACAAAAGCAAGAGGTTCAGAAATATGAGCAAGGTGAGGCAGAGGAGAGGGAGAAGGATCATCAGGCTGTCCTCTGGGGAAAGATGACCTGACCTTCACCCTGTCTTTTTGCACAGAGGGCAACAATCATCTTAATCTCGTTTCCTTTGCTTGAAAGCAGGAAAGTTAATATTCCTAAAGTAGCCTACTAGCTGTAGATTCGGGGTAAGATAAATACAGATCTACTCAACATATGGATAGTAAATGTTATAGCATGCAAGTAAGAAACCCATTCAACTGCTTAGAGAGATGATGGGGTGCTGAGAAAAACAAGAATAACTGGGTCAGCATTAGAAACCCAGGAGCTTGTTTGGCTCCTGGCAAACAACAACAGATCCCTAGAGCTCCCCCTCCTATTAGGGCAAGAAGGGAGAGAGAGGAGGAGACTATACCTAGGAGGCTGAGGCTTCTTCTTGGAGGAGGAGGGGGAGTTGGAGGGTGTGGAGAGGTCAGGCCCCGCTGAGAGATGTCCACATCCACAAGCGACACTGTTTCACCTGAGGGATTCATGGAGCAAGCATGTTATAGAAGCACCTTGCCCAAAGCTGAAGCCAGAAGCAAAGGCAAGCAAAGAGCAAGCAAGGGAAGCTAGAGGCCCCTGGCTCTCAAAAAGCTCAAAACCTAATGCTCCCAGGGCTGGAATCATCCCCAAATGCCTGGGAAGTCAATTTTTAAAACTATCATTTCTTTGCCCTGTCAAGGATTCTTTAGGATGAAAACACGAGATTGACAGTGAAAAAGTCAAGTAACTGTTCATTCTGCCACTGACAATATAACCTTGAACAAGGGGTCTTTATTCAAATGGAACCCACACCATTTGTTTTTGCAGACTTGTGTACCAATTTCTGCCTTAGGGAGCAAAGCAAGCAGCTTGTTACAAGCCCAAATGGACACAGAAAAGAAGTGCCAGAAAAATGTAAGAACTGCATGGTAAGTTGAATACAGATAAAGGTCCCAATGTTAGCCCCAACTTCTTCCTAAATGGCTTTCCACATCTAGGTTTTTCAGAATATTCACTCGTATGAGAATCAACCATATCGACTAGTTCCTAACAGCTGGGGCCACATAGGCTGAAAAGTGCATTTAAAACCCTAATAATTAACTACTTCCACAGTCAGCCAAGAGTCAGGTGTAAGCTTAAAGGAAGCTTCTAAGTAGGAACTTGGTGGGGGGTGGCAGGTGGTACTTTTTACTTCTCAGCATGTCATGCAGTTCTGTTCTTTGCCATATGCACTCCTTATTGCCACCCAACCCCATCTACCCTCTCTCCACTGAGTCACCAGAGGATAAAGGGTACTTAACTAAGGTTGACAACTAAGAATAGACTGTTTTGGTTAGGTCTGATCCACAGATCAGAACTCCAGGATTTCTCTAATTTAGCCCTTAGGGCATTATTTCCAACACATTTTTCTTATTCAAGAGGCTGAATTAGCCCCTCAGCTAGAATTTTATTATTTCCCAGTTAAGAAAGTAAGGTCTCTAAAAGGTCAGGACCTGGGCTTTCAGAATGTAATACACAGTTTTTTACAAAGTACTTTAATACTAATTAAAATAAGCAGAAAAATCTCTTCCAAAAGTCATCAGTGGAAGTTCTAGGAAGCTGGTACTGAACTCATCATGCAGCTTAGTAACTCAGAGCCTAGCTGCCCAAAGCAAAGCAATGAGCCCTGACAAGCGTTTCCTGAAGGGTAAAAAGGGTCTAGATCAGCAGTCCCCAACATTTTTGGCACCAGGGACCAGCTGCTCCTATGAGAATCTAATGCCTGATGATCTGAGGTGGAGCTGAGGTGGTGATGCTAATGCTGGGGAGCAGCTGTAAATATAGAGGAAGCTTTGCTTGCTAGCCCATAGCTCACCTCCTGCTGTGTGGCCTGATTCCTAACAGGCCACAGGCTTGGCCCAGGGGGTTGGGGCCCCCTGGTCTAGATGATAGGTGTAGCACTTCAATAAAAAGATGTAATTCAAAAGAACTAAGGCTGTCCGAAACTGGAACCCTAAACCTGAAACTACAAATGTGAGTGGGTATTCCTTACTTCAGAAAGGAAACAATTACTAGAAAGACACACTGCTACGGGATAAGATTCTTTAATTCTGGGCTAGGGTAAGAACAGAGACCTCCTTCTCTACCTGTGCCTATTACAGGCACCAACTCACTTGTTCTGACAGCTCATGGCCGGCTATGCAGTAATGGGGTATGGGAGGAGGTCCTACTAACTAGCCTGCTTAACATCTTCTGGAACTGTCCATTTCCAAATCAAAATTCTTCCAATTACTTTTTTGAGGAACATAATATCCAAGAGTTTGAAACTGAAATTTTCTCAGCCACAACCAATGAGCACTCAGTTTGAGACCTGAGGCAGTGTACTCAAGATCTTCTCTTCTACAACTTATTCAAGGAGCTTCACATCTGACTGACATAACAATCTCCCTCCCTGAAAAGGTTCCCCATTAAAGAGACAGCAGTTGCCCAAAGGACATTCAACTACTTTCCTACTTTAGCAAATGTGTTCCCTGCTCCAAGAGAAGAGACTCAAATTAGATAGAACTAACAGGTGCAAGAACTGCTAGCCCCTAAAATGGGTAAGACAAGAGTTCACGTAATCCCCTTTGCCCAAAGTCTTTAAAAAGAGACCAGATAATCATGGGTCATGTTTATTAGATAATTCATGAACTCTCTGGGAAGCAGGAACAGGAACTGTATGACTTCTAGACAGTCCTTTCTGCACTGTGAGACTATAAATTTGTAATTCCCCTTTTTAATTTATATGTGATGACCCTGAACTAAGTACTGCTTAACTGCCAGGGCCATCTAATTATCAGCAAGCAGTCACTACTCAAACTAAGTCAAGAACACATTCCGCGCCATAAAAATAGCCTCACCCCAACCCAGTGGGCATGGAATGAAGAAAATAACTGCAGACATGCCTGAAGCTCCCTCGACGATGCATCTGTGTTTCTTGACAGGTCTCAGAACACTCGTGCTTTCAGATGTCAGAAAAAATAAAAGAAAGAGATCACCCTTACCTGTGAACAGGGGGCTGAAGGAGACCGGAGAAAAGGCACTTTGAGTTCTTGTCAACCTGGGTTTCCTAGGGGGTGAGAAAAGCAAACAGAAAGAATAGGTGGTATGTGTGTGTGTGTGGGGGGGGGGTTAACACATATGCATTTAATTCACCACAGTACTCAATTCTAGATGCAAGGAAAAACAAAGCAAACCCTAGTCATTGTCAGCAACACTTTTGTAATAAAGCCTAAAATTTAAAGGAGGAAAATGAAATAATTAAGGCAATTCCTTAAATAGATCTGGCTACAGAATTCACCAGCCTACAAAGACATGAAAAAATCCCTTTGGATCTTTCCATACCCAGCACATTAAAAGAGTAAAACACCTTGAGTGGTAATTAGCAAGTCTATTTCTATAGGAAGAAAGTCTGGATGCAGAGCTGATTTTCACATGGAAGCCAAGAAAAAGGCTCTTGACCTGAACAGGTGCCATCTCAGAGCAAAAGCCTTCCCTCTGGGCCTGCCCCGAGGAGCAGGAGGTCCTACAGGGAACCAGGGAATATATCTGGACTTGAGATCAGCACTACAGGATGCACTCCTAATCTTTAACCACTAAGACCTCTGATTTCTGCACGAATGACCCCAAGCCATGGATCAAAGCCATCAGCTAACAGGGGAGCCTCCTCAGGTTAGGGGCTCTGCCTGCCACCCAAAGATGGCCTCCCTTCCCCTCTCTGAACTGCCAGTCACATAGTTCTCCCCGATGCGTTCCAGGGAACTAGCTAGAAAACCCAGATCTCCTGTGAAAAGATACACAAAAGATCATTTTGCTGTGTACCAATTTCAACTGGCTTTTCACAGAGAAATAAAAGAAATCCAGACTCTGACAAAGACTTCCTGGCTAGAAATGTGGTAAGTTCAAAACACTCACCTCAGGATGACTGAATTGACTATAACGGAGAGACTTGTGGAGGTGAAGATAATATGCTATATCTTGACTGGGGTAGAGGTTACGATGACTATATACATTTGTCAAAATTAATAGAACTGGACACCTAAAAAAGGTGAATTTTTAGTATATAAATTATACCTCAACAAACCAGACTTTTTAAAAACTCCCACCCTTGAATTGAGTGCCTGACTCCAGGCCTCATAGCTAGCTCACCTTCCAAAACTACTCTCATCCAAAGGACTAAATGAAACTTCAACTGCACCCATAGAGGGGGGTGAAAGCAAAGATAATTTGAAATGAAATTCTATTTAAATTAGACTCTGCAAGATCTTTATGCATTTATGTTTTCACTAGATATCTGAGCTTCTCAGAACTCACTTTAAACAAAATTTCAAAACCATACCGTGAAGACCTTACTCAGAAATAGCCAAGATGCTGGATTTCCTCTCCTGACCTATCTCATACTCGCTCTGTAATCTCCTCCATGCCGAGACTTGAGAAATCAAAAGATGGTGCTCACTGTGAATGTCCCACCCACAGGAGAGGGGGCTTCATCAAGACACAAGCACACATAGTCCCTGTTTATGAAAGTTGTTCATGACAGTCTGCAACTTAGTTCCAACACTCCAGAGGGCTGGAAAGTTAATTCCACTGGACATGAACTTTAAGACTGAAGAGCCTCCAAGCTGATTTTTATTTGATAACTGTGGGTACAATATTAAACTCAGCAAGTAAAAACCTAAAGCACTGGCCTTTCAAAGGGTTCACACCTCAGCCATTTGGCCGTTTGCCTCCTTTCAAAGGAAGCTGCATTACTCTGCCATCTGCCCATGCTGGGGACGAATCTCTTCAGTGCCAAGCACTGAAGAACGGCAGTACCCACATGCACACAGCTTGCGGAGGCCTTCTCACTCCAGCTCATCTCCCCTGCCCCCAGCATTTTGAAGAAAATTATAGTTTCTAGGATCCAGAAAAAGAAATACATATGAATCTAAACGCAGGCAGAGCCATTTGAGAGCCCTGGGATGGTTGTGGGATGGTTTTCTGGCAAATAAGGGGGCCTCAGAGCTGGAAGCTTGGAGAGATAGGTCTAAGAAGCTGAAAGGCTAATAATAAATATGAGTGCTTCCTTCTCTCCTGGGGAGATGCTGTCTAACTGAAAATCCAAAGCAGTTTCCTACTCAAGGATCCTGAGAGCATTCTAATGGCAGTCATTCATGAAAAGACCAATCTAGTTGACTATTAAAAAACAACGCAAGGGAATGATTAACATAAAATCGAGGACGGTGGTTATGTGGGGGAGGGGGAAGATGTAATCAAGAAGCAAGCACAGGGGTCTTCAAAGGTAACTGATAACATTCTACTTGCTTAGTGAGAGTGTCTAGGTATGCATTTTATTATTATCACAGCACATACACTTTGTACCTTCCTTTTGTATACCTGAAACATTTTAAATGATAAAAGCCCATTCTAAACTGGATATGCTGTTTTCTGGGAGAGCAATATGAATGTGGCTCCAGATAACATTTTTACTAACCATTCTATACCACATTCCCATGTTACTTTATTCCTCCCCAGATCCCTTTGATAAGCATTAGGGTACAAAGTTAAGACACTGCAACTTTGCCAGTGGGCCACTATATCTTAGCAGCAGAAAGACTTAAGGGGTGTGGTAGGGTAGGATTTGATGGGCTATGCTTCAGGTGGCAGAAGAGGACATGGGTGGCTCAAGACCTTAGGCAAAGGTCTTGAGGCTAAGCATTTTATTATTATTACAATGAATACATTTTATATGTCAGTTATGCACTTCTTGTGTTGAAGGTTACAAAGAGACAGAATGCCTCTGTCCATTTCCACTCTGCAAACTACTTGTCATAATTGTATGACAACAGATCTATGGGATAAAAGGAGTTAAAAGAATTGGACTAGACAGGCCTACAACACATTGATATAACCACTGGCCACTTTTCAAATTCCTGGAAACCTAAAACATAAACAATGAAATAGTAACGCCCTCCTTCTTTTGTCCATAAATCCCCTCTTCTGATATTCTAAGACTTACACGCCCTTTTCTAAAGTAAGTTACAAACTAGGATGTCCAAAAAGCAGGTTTTGTAGCCACGATTTACCTCTGCCCCTGCTAAAGTACACATTGCCAAGTCAGCCAGCCTGTGCCATTTCCAACACGTCATAAGCCAATGTCTGTTCATGTGCTACAGGCACAAAAACCATGTGTTCATTTTTAGTTCCAATACACAGACATCTGTGCGGCAAGGTCAGATCCAAAACTCCATCATAAACCAACTAAAGAATCTATGGAGGGAACTTCCAGGGAAAAGCCAAGAAGCATAGTTCAAGGACTAAAACTTTAGGAACGATGTTAACAGGGAAAATATTAAGGAACGAAAGACACAAGACTCAAATGGACAGATTTCTAAAGCTAGGCTGCTCATTCCAAAAGAGAGCTGCCAACCACAGGCACTTAATGAAAAATAGTTAAAAAGATCAATAGAACAAAACTCAAAACTCAAACATGAAGTCAGAACTTCCTCACCACACCATAAAATCATTTTGCTGTCAGCATGTCACGTTATTTCTCAAAAAAACCCCCTTAGACCTGAAGATCTGAGGAAACAGAGAAAAGTGTTTCTCATGTCTACCACGTCTGTCCACAACAGCAGGGCCACAAACTGATGCCAAGGCAGCCTGCCTGCCTCTCTTTCCAGAATTGTATCTTCTTTTCCCCAAATATATAGGAAACCACTATAGAACAATTCTCCACCTCACAACTATGAACACTGCCAGTGATAGCCTCGACTGAACTCAGAAAAATAAATCTTGAAAAATGAACAAGGTACCCATTTCCATTCAAGTGCATATTACGTGATGATTCAAAAAAGGTCAGATCAAATACCATTTCTCACCAAATTCAAAGGAAGACAATCAGCTCACCATATGTGAAACAGACAAGGGAAATTCACTGGTTTTCCTGAAATAGCAATTCTATATTACACTGAAGCCCGCAGGCATCAAGCCCAGCTCTGTGAATTCCAACATATGTGTTAAAGGCCTAGCCCAGTTCTCCATAACAGAAACCTGGTAAGTCTGGTTGGGCTTATTTCTTCCTTTGCTTAAAAAGAGTTCTCAAAGCTAACTCATAGTAGACTTAAGGCTCAGAATATCCAGGCAGATCCACTTAGCAGACTCTAAAGCATCTGAAAAGAACTAAAGTTTTGCTTAGTGTTAAAATTTGGAAACTATTGTCTTATAAAATGATTGTAGGAAATACTTTACAGTGATAGCTGTGGGAAAGGTAGGTGTTAAGAAAAGCAAAGAGAATCATGCCCACAGGTTACTGTAAAAGCCCCAAATTATACAGCAAAGATTGAAAAGACTCATAATTAACTCCAACCAACAATAAGGAGGAAGGCATATACCTTCTGGCAAAGACTGAGATTTCTCACAGCTTCCAGATCCTACCAATCAAAACAAGAGAACAAGCTAAAAGTCCAAACTCATCCTTCCTCCTACCAGGGCGGACTTACTTAAGAGGTACAGAGCCACAGAAATCACAACTACCCTGGCCAGACTTACCAAGTTTCTCACAGCTGCAAGGCTGCCAACAAGACTGGCACATAGTAAGCTGTGTAAAAGCTAACAAGCAAATCTAACAGCACCAAATTCTAAGCATAAAAAAAAAAATCACCAGTTTGATCTTCTCCTCCAAAAGCACAAAATATTCCGTCTAAATTTCTCCTATCTTCACTCCTCTTGTCTTCACTCTCATTTTACTGATGAATAAAACGGGGGAAGCATGAAGAAGACAAAATTGGCCTGCATCCCACAGCTGATGCTTGAGTTCTAAATGAAATCTAGATGTTCACATTATCTATCCAACATGCTGCCTCCTAACAGCAGTCAACCAAACGTTCGTACACAAATACCTAGCACTTCTCCAATTCATCAGAAAAAGCCCTTGGACCAAAAAATGTAATTCTCCAGTGCCCTGAACTAAGCTTTGCTGAGCTACAGCCCAATTTGCTCTGCAAGAGAAATCTGTATTGTGCTTAGTGTGAGGGTTGGTGACAGAGCAGCCAATGACCATTAAATTCTGCTTCCAAAGGCAAAAAACCGTATAATGTTATATGTCTTTTCCTATTCCTAATCTATTAGACCGAGCAGCTAATTTCACGCCACACCTCATATTTGGCAGCTCTGGAATCTTAGACCAAGTCCTGGTCAATAGGGAACAAAGGCAAGACAAACCACAAGAAAATTAGCAATCTATCCAATGCCATTACCCACAGTTTCAATCCTGCTGTCCCCGGATCTGATGAAAATTTCATCTATACTGGTTAAGTGGAGCATCAAATGTAGAGCCGACTACAAAAAAGCTATTTCAGCAGCCACACACTTTCCAAGACCTGAGCATGAATTCATTGGGAGACAAATGTAGAAACATAAGTCAACCTAAAGGGGCGACATGCATCAATCTACTGATTTCTTTAGGGAGTTGGGTATGGTGTGATCCCCAGATAAGCGCCTGGCACGGCTGTTCAGAAAGGGCAGCAGTCAATCTGACCCCACACTAGCCTCTTGGACTATGTAAGTTCCCTCGAAAAGAGAAGTCCATGGATGAGTGGTTCACAGTCCAGGTCATACTTCAGGATCAACTGAGGAGCTTTTTAAAAATTCAAATTTGGGGGCCTTCAGACATAGTCTTTTCCCAAAGCTTCCCATATGATTCCAGTGCACCAAGTTTTCGATTTACTTATCTATCTGTTGTTTTTCAGCCTTGGGTTGTGGCGGCAGTGTGTCTCAAGAATTCATCACATAAGCTGCACCAAAACCAATTCCAATCTTTCTAAGAATCCATTCGGCAGCACAAACCACAATGGCAGGTACAAGAGAAATCTCATTTCATTGACACAAAAGTTGACAGCTTTCTAAACCAACATACAGATTCAACACTGGATGTCAGGGAGCAGTCCACTCTTCAGAAATGCAGGAAAAACTCAATGTCTAAGTTTGGAAGTTTCATCAATTGGCCTAAAACTCATGCATCAATGTGTATACCATATATTTAAGAATTCTCACATAGGCTTGTGAGCAAAGCTATTTTCTATTCTCATTGACAGTGGTCAGCACACAGGCTTGAGATATCAAGTGCATCTAAGAGACCAACTAGTAAAACATGAAAACTTTGAATGGAGATGTCCAATTGACTGAGGGCCTACAAATGCAAAAGTTCATCACACTATTTGTATGCATGAGTGTGAAGGAAGTAGGGTGCTGATACGCAGAACAAGTAATAAGCAAGGTGATCAAAATGCATCACCAACTTTTTGTCCCAAAGGTGAAACATTTCCCACAACCTCCCTGCCAGGGGTAATGGAAGACAGACACCTTGGAAAAACTTTAAAAGCTGGGCCAGGATAGGGGTGGGGGGATAGTTTCAAATCATCTCCAAATTAGAGAGAAGCTAACCAGCTGAGAAGTGTCAGGGGGCGTGAACTCTTAGCGTGACCTAACGAGCTGTGCCCTAACGAGCGATGTCACTACCTTTATCCTCAAGTCTCTGCCTCCTTATGAAGCCCATATCATAAGAATTGTCAGGATCTTGTTAGCAAAATAAAAGGGAAACGAAACAAGAATATGAAGTTTGTCAGCCAGCTCCCCAGCCGGTCTCACCTCACCACGTCGAGCTCCCGGCCGGCAGAACCTCCCACGTCCGTCAGGCTCGCCGCTGAAGCAGCGAGCTCCCCAGAAGGTCTCTTGCCGACCCCATCCCCACCACCGGAGCCACCGTTGCAACTCTTCGTGCGAAAGAGACGGCTGAGGCGGATTTTGAGAGAGCCCTTTCGAGAAGGGCCCGCGAGTGGCCGGAGGAGCCCAGGAGGCGGCGGCGGCGGCGGGGGAGGCAGCTGCTGTTGCTCCCCTCTACTTAAGCGCCCTGGAGGGACCAAGTCCTGCAGCGGGAAGGACACCGGGGGTAATTCAGGGCCTGGGGGTTGCAGCAGAAGCCGGCCGCTCCCTCCTCCTCCGCGGCCCGGGCTGCTGAGCTCTTCTTCTGAGCAGCTGTTAGTCTCCAGGCTCTCGGCCTCCGACTCCAAGCCCTCCAAGACTAGCAGCGCGTCGCTCGTTTCCGTAGGATCCTCCCCGGCCTGCGGGGCGGCAGCAGGCGGTTGGGGCTGCGGAGGGGGCGGCTGTGGGGGGCACGGGCACGGGCAGCAACTCCCACCCACCGTCTTGACTCCCGGCCCTGCAGGCTGCCCGAGCCCCAGAGCAGCCAACTGCGCCTCTAGTCCGGCCGCCGGGCCCCAGGTCCGCTCGAGTGCCAACCCCGGGGGCAGGGCCTTGGGGTCCAGGGCACAGCGGTGCCGGGGACACAGCAGTTCCGAGGGTCCCGGCTCCGGCGCCGCCTGGGCGTCCTCCTCCTCCGGCGGCCGACCCACGTTGCGGAACACCATCAGCTGCGGTGGCCGGGAACCCCGCGGACCTGGCCGCGCAAGGAAGGGTGGCGGCGGGGGGCCATGGCCCGGGGGCGGCGGCGGAGGGCCTGGCTCAGGGGCCGCCTCTCCATAGCCGAGCAGGCGGCAGCGGCCCCCGCCGCCGCCTCGCCATCCCGGAGCTCGGCCCCCTGCATCGGGGAGAGGGAGGGCGGGCGGCTGGGAGCCGGGCTGGGGTGGGGACTAGGCCGGGCCCCGCCGGAGCCCCGCCCGCCGCGGGCCCCGGAGCGACAGCGCTAACGGCCGCCGCGGCCTCTGCCTCATAGAGGGGGCGGGGGTTGCGTGGAGCACAGCGCGAGCCCAGGCCGCGCGCCGCCGCCGAGGACCGCCCCCGGATGGCGTCACTTCCGGGAGACAATGGTCACGCCTCTTTCCCCGGGGCGTGCTCGCACCGGCCTCTACCGAGCGTGATGTTAAGCACAGCCTGAGCCGCTATTGGCCGTAAGCTGCTTCTCGCCTGGCTGTTGGTTCCCTGTCCCAACCCTTGCCTTTCACTTCCCGGGCGTTCCGGCCGAAACCACCCTTCTTGGTAAGGTGGAGCGGCCCTGGGGAACCTGATTGGGTCCTTGGAGAGAGCCGGTGGCCTTGGGAGTAGTAACTCGGGTTCTGGTCCCGCCCGTGCCGTTTGCTATGTGTGATCGTGGCCATGTCATTTCTTTATTGACAAACTGTATTTCCCCTGGCATTTAGTGAATAGTCATATAATGACACCTGAATAATGTGTTCTGGACCCAGTGGAATGCTGATAAATGTTGAACAGTTGACGCTCTGGGGGGAAAAGGGGAATATATGCACATACATAGATACATAAATTTACCAAATTTTACTGATGTAAAGAATGTGTAGCACAATTTACAAAAAATAGTATTCAATCGGAAATTCTATATAACCAGTTGATGCTCACAGAATGCTTTCGTTAATTTTTGCCAAACTCTTGAATGGGTAGCCATCCTGTGGTTTCAGTTGACCAAGAAATGTGTAATTGTGACCTGACTGTTGGTTAATATTTTCCTCTATGTTAATGTAAGAGGAAAGTTAAAAAAAAAAAAAAAAAAACAATAATGGGAGCGACTTCTTTGCTGAATCGGAAGACAGTTTTTAAATGCTGAAAGAATATGTCCTCAATTTTTGTGCTATTCTCAATGTAATGACTAGAGACATCACACATTAAAGTTAAATATAAATAACGTTTTCTTCATCACTTTCTTAAATCTAGATAATCAACAAAATAATAAATCAAGGTCCTGATTTGTAGGGTTTGCCAATTTCCATGGTGTAAACACTCCCGCCATGGCTAATTTCAGTCTACCAACCTGATTTTACTGAACACAGAATTAAAGATGAGCAGTAGCATATCATTATGTAGTGGTTTCATCATGCATATTTGATAACATAAATAACCCCAAGAGCACAGGTAAATAATAAGTAAAATTATTAATATGTAGTGAGTTTTGAGGATTTATTATCTTTGTTTTTAACATGACTTATTTAATTATAAGTTTGTATAATTTAATTTTTAATGGTGACTATGTTTAACAACCAGCTTGCAAGATTCCTGAAATTTTAATAATTGGCTTTCACAAGCTTGTATGAACCAGCTCCATAGCACCACAGTTTTCTCATCTGCAAAACAGGGGAAAGGATTGCAGCTTTGCTTACTTGTAGACATGTTGTGAATATCAAACAGGATCAAGCTTGTTGTGTAGGAGGTGGGACAGCAGGCAAGGAGACCAGTTAGGAAACCCATCACAATCATCCCATGAGAGATATTTAGGGATGCAAGGGTTAAGAAGGAAGGAGCAGCCAGCAGAACTTAGCAACTTTGGTACCTGAGAGTACATTCATGGAAAGAGGATGGAGGGTCTGCTATGAGTCCTGCAGCCAGAGAGATCTTTTTAAAGTGGACATTTGTCCATAGTCAGTGATTATAATGCTTCATGGTTTCCCATTTTTTAGGCTAAACACAAAAGTCCTTAAGGAGGCCTCTGATGTTCTGTGTAATTCAATCTTGCCTTTCTCCAGCCTCATCTTCCACCAAGCTCCCCCATGTTCTCTCCCCCCTACAGTCCTACTAACCCTGTGTCAAGTTTGCACATATATGGCCATTGCATAAGCTATTCCCTTTTCTTGAAAGGCTGTTTCCCTCTCTTTTTGCTTAGTAAACTACGCATTCTTCAGATTGGAGAATTCTCCTTACTGAGTTCTAGGACCACTCCTTTGTTGCACTTAATTGCATAGATGTAATTTGTCATCTATCCGTGTGGGTTTTTTTTTTTTTTTAAGTCTGTCTTCCTTACTAAGCTGTAAGCTACATGAGGGCAAGGGGCACATTTGCCCATCATAGACTGACTCTCCAGTGCCAAGGACTGTGCCTGGCACAGAGTAGGCCTTTGATAATAAGTGTTGAACGCTGTTCAACCTCACTCCTTGTAAGGGCCTCCTGATATAAATTCATCTCTAAATCAGCACAACAGAATTAATATCCTTCCTTGCCCATGAAAAAACTGAAGCTCAGAGTTATTTGCCTAACATCACACAGGTCAAAAAGAAACAGCAGTATTCGAAACCAGCTCTGACTCCAAAGATTTTATTCTATAACCACTCTCCCTCAGCTACTTCTCAGGTGTCACTCAGGTTTCTGGAGAAAAGAAGAGAAATTGCTATAGGATTACAGAACACCTGAGGCCTAAGACCACCCAAGATCTCTGGCTGTGTCTGGAAAATTCTGGCCCCAGAACAGATTACGGGGTGAATACAAGGTCTGTATGCAAGGTCCGTAGTTCTGCAGCGCCCTCTGCTGTCCAGCTACTTTCTTGGCCCCAGAGGGAGACAGTGTCCAGGCACCTGGGGTATCTCTACCTGCCCGGAACACACATGCTCTTTCTAAGGCAGGGCAAGGAATGCTGCCTTTCTCCGTTTCCTTAAATGTCCAGGCCTGTTGCCCAGATCCTAGGAAAAAAAAAAAACACATTAAAAATTAAGCTCCGAGCAGAGGAAGTATAATCTTTGTATGAGTTAGATTGGAGTGTATTTGTCGAGTAGGTTTTGTGTCTACACATACCTCTTTCACTGAAGGCTATATAAGTGGTCCCTACAGTAATAAAACCCTAGTTTAAAAAGGTTTGTGGAAAACAACTCAGAGACTGTAAATCAGTCTGAGGTTCATTTAGTCTTTCAGCAGGGGACCAGGCAGTGACTAGTAAGTTAGGTCCAGTCTCTGGCCCTCTGGAGCTTGCCATCTAGTTTCAGTTCTAATCATGCCATTTCCTGGATATATGACCAAGAGCAAATAACTAAACATCTCTGAACCTGTGTTTCATTTGTAAAATTAGGTCAATAATATTCCTCCCTGACAGGGCTGTTGTGGGGATTAATGGAAACTTACATGTGAATGCTAAAACACTATACAAATGTTAGTTATTATTATGAAAAGCTTCTTGGGGAGAAAAACAACTTACTATTATGTCTTCACCCTTTGTGTTTTGTTGATCCTCAACTAACCAACCATTACTGATCATACCAAGAATGTGGAATAGATCATTTCCTCCCTCTTGTCCCTCTCTCTGTTAGCACACGGAATCAGAGAGGTCAAGGAGAGAGCTGTGGGTGTGTGATACAGGTCTAATCCAGTGACCACTCACCGGCTTTGTGACCTTAAGGAGGTCACTTTGCTGACATTTAGTTTTAGTTTTAGTTTCCTTCTCTATTAGAGAATGGTCGAGGTTACAGGCACTTCTAGTTCTGACACACTAGAGATTCCACTGGGGGTTTGTCCTCTAGCCCCTCTCTTTTCCTCCTACCTCTTACATTCCCACTTAGGGTTCCAAAGCAGATGGTTTGAAGAGGCCACCTGTAAAGCAAGGGAAGTTTTTAGCAACCACCACCCATCCCTTTCTACGCACTCACTCAGTGATCTGAGACATCAAAGGTTGGGGGTGGGGCAGAGAATGAGAAGGGAAGGAGCCAAAAGACCACACGTGCACATGGGGCCAGATGGATGGGTGAGTGGGGAGCACATCAGCAGTGGAAAGGCCAAAGGCGTGGAAAAGGGAGGGAGAGGAAGGCAGAGGCTTTGCTTTGTGCCTACCTGCCAAAGTCCACACCCTTCGGATCCAGGGAGGCTGCTTTAGATAGTACTAACTCTGGGCCCCAAGTAGTCATGTCCAACAGAGGGAAGGGTGTGAGCAGTAAGAAAATGGGGAAGAACAAGAGAGGTTAGGCAGTTTTCAGGAAGAAAAGAAGGCAGAGCTTAGGATGATAAAATAAGGATAAAAGAAATGGAGGCAAAACTTTGTTTACTCTCTTCTCCTTGCGCCCATCCTCCCCCACCCCATTGCCTGTGGTTGCTAACTAACCTTGTGGTGTGAGAAGAGGTATCTTCTGGGTGGGGTGGTGGAAACCTGGTAGAGGCTCCCCCTCTGTCATGAACAACAGTGTGGTACTAGAGAAGTCCCTTTGTCTCTCTGGGATTGATTCTCTCCTTTGTAATAAAACTTGATTAAAGTCTCTGAGATTGAATAACAGGCTAATGGTGGTTTGTGGGGCAGTGTAGGGGAGTCAGAGCTCTGGGTTTAAGTCTCCACTCAAAGTGAGTAGCTTAATGATCTTGAGTGATCTCTGAGCCTGGGTGTCTGCACCTATGAAATAGGGATAGAAATATTTACCATATGTAGTTATGGAGGAGATTCATTGAGATAATGCACATGAAAAACACTTTATGAACTGCCAGAGTCTGTACTAAGATTGATTATGATTATATTGAGCTCTCTTTCCCATCCCCGATCTCAAATTCCAGTTCGGCAGCACAGTTTCAGGGGTGTACAGGCAGCCAGAGCAGATTGCCAGGAGATGCAGCTTGGCCCTTTATCATGCCCATCACAATTGCTGCCAGGAGGCTAAGTGGAGCAGAGGGGTGGAGAGGGGGGCATGGGCTCATCTGTGGTTGCTATGGCGCCCCATCCTGGATTTGCCAATTTCTCCTAATGGAGCAAAGGGCAGAAGGAGGGAGGAAGGAAGGGAGGGAGGGAGGGAGAGTCGGGGGGGTGGAGAGAGAGAGAGAGAGAGAGAGAGAAAGAGAGAGAGAGAGAGAGAGAGAGAGAGAGAGAGAGAGAGAAAATGAATCTCGAGGAAGGAAGGGAGGGAGGGAGGGAGAGTCGGGGGGGTGGAGAGAGAGAGAGAGAGAGAGAGAGAATAGAATGACTGGTCCCTTCCTCTCTTCTCCCCTCTCTCTGGAGCAGATGTAGGGTGGAGAATGGGGGGAGGGAGCCTAGATATTGGATGAGAGGGGGAGGGAAGAGTGGTGTGCCAGGATTAAGAGGGTTTGCAATGGGGGTCACACTGAGAGAGGAGGGGGCAGAGCCCTCACGCCTACATCCAGAAGCCAGCTGATGACGTTAGAGAGAAGAAAAAACAAGCAAGAGCAGGAGCTGAGAGATAGAGAAAGAAAGAGAGAAAGCAAGGGTAGGAGGCAGGGAGGCAGGCAGGCCCAGACTGCAGCCAGACTTTGCCTGCATTCTCCTGAGCCACCAAATCCCCCAGGCAGCCTGGACCCCAGGGTCTCTGAGAGCTGCCCCAAAAATGGGCACCAGGGCAGAGGTCGTGCCCCCTCTTGTGTGGGGGCTGCTGGGCTGCTATTTCCTCTGTGGCTGGGCTCTGCGGGGTCCACGGCCCTTCCGCTCTCTGCCCCCGCTGTCCTCTCAAGTCAAGCCAGGGTCTGTACCCATGTGGGTGCCCCCAGAGGGTGCTGAAGCAGCCCTGGCTTTTCTCTACTCTGGAGATGCCCAACAGCTATTGGAGGCTAATTGCAGTGAGCACTATGAAGCTCAGGGGGCAGGAGCCAGACCAGGGCTCCCCCCAATCCTACGGAGGGCAGCGGGCACCCTCACCCAGGCCGCCAATTTCCTCAACATGTTGCTACAAGCCAACGACATCCGTGAGTCCAGTGTGGAGGAGGATGTGGAGTGGTACCAGGCGCTGGTCCGAAGCGTGGCTGAGGGGGACCCACGGGCACACCGGGCTTTGCTGACCTTTAACCCTCCACCAGGAGCCAGCCACCTGCAGCTGGCCCTACAGGCTACCCGGATGGGGAAGGAGACCATCCTTCAGGACTTGTCTGGGAATAGGGTGCAGGATGACAGCCCAGCTGGGACCCTTGACACCCCTGCACTGAAGAAAAGGGTGCTGACCAATGACCTAGGAAGCCTTGGAAGCCCCAAGTGGCCACGGGGGGATGGATATGTGGGGGACATGCAGCATGTGAGACTGTCTTCTCCCTTCCTGGAATGCCAGGAGGGACGGCTCCGTCCTGGCTGGCTTATCACACTCTCGGCCACTTTCTATGGACTCAAGCCAGACCTCAGCCCAGAGGTCAGGTAAGTGGGTTGGTGCAGGATTGGATGCATTTGTGGGTATGTGGGGGTGAGGAGCCTAAGTCTAGCTAGCTGTGCATGGGCCATTTGGCATGCACATGTATGTCTGGGGGGCTCAGATGTGTGTATTTGCAGTTGACTCTGGGAATCTGTAACTATGTGTTAACACATACAAATGTGAGTGTACAAACTGTGTATGAATCAGTCCATTTATACGTAGGTATACACATATGTGTGTGTACAGATGTGTGGGTATATCCAGGCATAGGTCTTGGCCCCCAGCTCTGAGTAGTGGGTAGAAAAGGCAGGAGAGGAGTTGGTGTGGATGACAGTGACAATCCATGCACCAGGCGCCTGGGAGGAGCCAGGTGGGCATTCCAGGACTTAAACCCACAGCTCTCTAGCAACCCAGATGTGTAAAAGGAGGCTTCTTCAAGGGAAGGAAAATTCTTTGGGGTGGGGGGTTGCTAAGAACCATTGTCCTTCCTATCTAGGAGTTGGCCAGGTCCTCAGGGTCACTCCCAATGGCTATATTCTTACATCAAGCAGATTCCACTGTCCTGCCTGTTCTGATCCAGGATCCTATAATACTCCTCAAATAACTGAGCCCCCTCAACCCAAGTAAAGAGGTGACTGGGAGTGTGGTGGGAAGAGGCAGAAAATGGGCGTAGTACTTCAAAGACATTCAACAATCAACATTGTTTTTTCAGCTACTGTCTCCTTTCATTGTCCCCAGCAGGGTTCCTGAGCTCACGCAAAAGCCCAGCTCCCTTCCAGCTCTCTCGCACTCAGTCAGAGCAGGGAGGGATTGGGAGCCCTTGGGCCAGGTAGACCTAATTCTGGGCTCCTCCATTCCATATCTCCTTTGCTATGATCAATTCAGACTTGATTTGGGCCAAGCGAGGTGTGGTTAATAGTTGAGCTCTGTGCATGTGTGTATGTGTGTATGCAGTGGGGAAGTGTGAAAATCCCTTTCAGACAGATCATCAGAGCCCCAGCTCCCACATGTCTTGACACTCCCCCTCCCTCTACTCATTGACAGAAACCAGGAAATGCTAGGATGTTGAAAAGCTGAGGGTGGAGTGGGGGGCATCAACCTAGGGGGAGAGGGGTTATTGCCCACGGAGACAGTGAAGGTTAGTAGCACTGGTGAAATGGAATGCATGTGTGCCCTCTCTCCACATACTGCAGCCACTGTGCTAAAGTTTGCATAGCTGGCATTGCCCATAGTCTGGGGCCCAAGGACACTATTCACCTTGGCATCCTTCTCTGAGCCCCTAACTGCCAATTCACTGCCCTAGGGGGCAGGTGCGGATGGATGTAGATCTTCAGAGCGTGGACATCAATCAGTGTGCCAGTGGCCCAGGCTGGTACTCTAACACGCACCTGTGTGATCTCAACAGCACCCAGGTAAGGATAAGAAGCAGGGCATATGGTCCTGCCTCCCTTCCTCTTTCCCATCACTGCCACCACCCAGCTCCCAGGAGAAGCTGACAAAGGCACACCAGCCTCTCAGGGATTCAAGGGAGTTCCTAGTGATGAGATAAAGATGAGCTACCAGGCTTTCTAAAAGTGAGGACACTTACAGCCTACCCCTACCCCGTGCCCAAGACAGCCACCCTTGTTTTTTTGTTTTATTTTATATTTTAGGCGAGGCAACCCTTGGTTGACCTCACAGATTGCAAGGACCTTGTCAGCTTACAATCTCTTATTTTTTTATTTTTTACGCCTACAGCACCAAGGTGGTCTCCCATCCACTAACCAGGCCCAACCCTGCTTAGCTTCCAAGATCAGATGGGATCAACCTTGATTTTTTGAAAGCTCAGTGTGCCTCCCTATCTGCTCTCCCTCTGGTACTTGGTGCTCTAGGATCCCTCCTCCGGACCATCTCCTGACCCTCTATTAATCATCCCCTTCCCTTCTCCTGGACCTCATTGTCATGTCATATCAACAGAGCTCCAGGCTCCTTCTGGCCCACAAAGAATGCTCAGTTATTGTCTTTTGAAATAAGTAGAATTGCTGGTTGGGGTATGGGAGCACTCTAGGATCTTGAAGAACTCTGGGACTGGTATAGGTGATGGAACCCAGGCCAGAGGCTGGAGGAATCAAAGCCACGGACACAAAGAATATGGGTAATGGAAAGCAATGGCTGGTAATCCAGCAAGCCCAGGACTGGCCAGTGAACTAATCTGCTCCACGGTTACACTGGCTTCATGATTGTTCCTGAGCTGAACCAAAGCCAAAGAGAGCCCTGTAGCGGGTGGGTTTGGGCATTTGCTGCTCTTCAGGGAACATGTATTTGGAGCTACAAGTCCAGGGATGGAGATGGGCTCTCATTGCTAGTGCACTTCAAAACCCAGCCATATTCACATCTCTAGGCAGGCATTTGTCTGATTGTGCAGATTATGGCAGAAGCAGAGCATGTTCCTCCAGTGGTCTGGACAAAAGAGGAAGCTGGGCTATGATTTCAGAGGCACCACCCTCTAACCTTTCTAGGTGAAATCGGGCTGGATATGAAACCTCCTACAGTTCAACCATTCCTTTGCCCCATGCTGTCTGTTCTTAGCCACTTCTTACAGCTCATCCACGTGCTCATCTTCCCCACCTGGCTCTGAGATCTGCTCTGTCCCCTGCTGGGTAAACATTAATGGGTGGAGATGGAATAAAGAGCTGGCCTTGGCATCCCATCAGCCTGGCATTAGCCTGGCATTAGGGCTGGAGAAAGCAGTCCTATGCTGAAGTCAGATGGCCTCTGACAGAGGAAGCCGCTCCTTCATTGGAGCCCTTTCCACCACTTTTGTGCCAAAGAGGGAGGCCAATGAGGACCCTTTGAGGCAAGATACAGACCTCTGAGAAGGTGTGGCTGGACTCAAAGTTCTCTCTACTTCCATCCCCCCACCTCCCGCCCCCCAGCACCTCGCTCTGGCAACAGCTGGGCACTAGGAAAGGGGACCTGAGGCACCTATCACTGACGGTCTGAATAAAAGGGCGATCTATCCCTATACTCTTTCTTTGGGGGTCTCTTTGAGAAGAGAGGCAGTGGGGTGGGGGTAGAATAGGGTTTCTATGGAAAGAAAGCTTCCCTAGGATTAGGGAGGACTTCTGGTGAGGTTCCCTAGTTTGGACCCAGATGCCGAGGATAGGAAGATAGATGGACCCGCCATCTCCTTCCGGGAGGGAAAGCCCATATAAATACCTATTGTGTTTGTCATTCCCACAGTGCGTCCCTCTGGAGAGTCAGGGCTTTGTCCTTGGCCGCTACCTCTGTCACTGCCGACCTGGCTTCTACGGGGAAAGCCGCTCTGGATGTATGTAACTGTGGTGAGGGCCAGGCAGGCTTTTTACAGGTTGGGCTGGTTGGAGGGAGTATCTGGGGAAGGCAGGCTGGGGTGAGATATTGAGAAGAAACTTGTCAGCATGGGCAGAAGGTTGAGAGAAGTAGAAAAGGCAGGCAGAATCTTGTTTGGGTGTGTCTGTGCCTTTCGAGCCCATAACATGCCAATCTGCTATAAGTTGACCTTGCAATGAGCCCTGGCCTGGCATCTCCTCTTCCTGTTACCTGGCCTCCCCTGGGAGTACCTATTTCCGCATTCCTCCCCTCCTGACCCTATCCTAGGGGCCATCAAAAGAGGGCAGGGAGAAGGCTATGGTGAGAGAAGGCTGGGATCTCAGGATGCCCCAGCCATCCCTCTCTCCCTTTACCCATCTTGTTCTTTATAGGGTTGGAGGAGAGTGCTGCCCAGCCTACCAGGCAATTTGGATCCCCACAAGGGAGCTCTGGGAGACTTCTGCGGTGCCAACCATGTGCTGAGGGCTGTACCAGCTGCATGGATGCCACACCCTGCCTGGTAGAGGAGGCCCCAGCACTGCGGGCAGCAGTGATGGCCTGCCAGGCCTGCTGCATGTTGGCCGTCTTCCTGAGCATGCTGGTCTCCTACCGCTGCCGCCAGAGCAAGGCAAAGAAGGCCCCACATCTCCCTCCTGTACACATGTCCTATCCATTTTGGGTCCCTAGCATCAACTGGAGACCAAGGCTACCTAAGACTAGAATTTGAGAGAAATAGGTTCTGGTCTTGATTCTTAACCTAACTTGCTATGTGACATTAGGCAAGTGGCCTCACCACCTTAGACCTGTTTCCTCATCTGTAAAATAAAGGTATTGGACTTGATTCAAAACAATAAGTAGGTACTAGGGGAACTGATCTGGATTCCCAGGAGAATGGAAGAAGCAGACATGTAAAGAAAATGACAGTATGGCAAGACAGGGGCAAGGATGGAGGTATATGTCAGTTTCTGTGGCAGTTCAGGAAAAGGACCCACTTGTCCTCCCTGGGCTGGCATGGGAAAGACTTTCTATGAATTTTGAGTGAGGCTGAAGTTCAACTGGGTAGTTACCAAGCAGAGAAGGGGATATCTAGACCAGGCAGCAGTCTGATCCAAAGCTTGGAAGAACACATGAGGTCCTTTCTAGCTCCAGCAGCCTCTGATCTGAGCCTAGGTCTGCAGCAAGGCCCAGGCTGGAGTTGAGAGGGGAATGGGGCTAGGGTGGCAGGGGCTGTGTGAAACCTGGGCCTTAGCTGGGCTTAGTGCCAGCGGAGCTAAGAGCCTTTGGTGGGGAGGGGTATAGCCTTAGCCCAGGACCATCGAGTGACCCCTAAAACAGGCCTGAGACCCTTCCACATCATTGTCCATGCTCTGTCTTCCCACCACCCTACTAACACACCTCTCTCATTCCTGGGTTCACAGAGGATCCGGGCGTCTGGAGTTGTTCTGCTAGAAACCATCCTTTTTGGATCCCTTCTGCTCTACTTCCCTGTGAGTTTGTGGCCAGAGGCTGATTCCCCACCTCCCAGGATCCCCACAGTCCCAACCTAACACCCTCCAAACCCCAGAATGCTTCTTCCTCTCTGCCCTCTTGTGGGGATTCAGAGACCTCTGAATCCCCCTACTGAGATCCACAAATGGCAGGCTTACCTAGTGAGGTCTGGAGCCAAACAGTCCAGGAGCTCTATGACCCACCGTGTTACTTAGGATAAGTTACTTAACTTCTCTGGTACTTAAGCTGCTCCTTTGCAGAATGGAGGTGATGATGCCTCTATTGCGAGACTGTTAGGAGGATCGGCAATGTGCTTAGCATAGGCCTGGTGCATAGTGGAAGTACAGTGGAGAACAGCTATTTTTGCCTCCTCTCCACCAGGTCTTCATCCTGTACTTCAAGCCCAGCATATTCCGCTGCATCGCTCTCCGCTGGGTCCGGCTGATGGGTTTTGCTATTGTCTATGGCACCATTATACTCAAGCTTTATAGGTAGGGGCTGGGGCAGACCTTGCTGTCACGTTGTTCACTCCCAGGCACCCCAACTGATTGGTGGAATGGAGTTCTTCACAGTCAGATTCTTACAGCTCCACTCCCCTGTGCCCCCAAGGCCTGCCCCATCACTATAGTCTTCTCCTCCAAACATAACTTTTCTGGGAGTGAGGAGGTAGCGAACCATGGAAGGGACGGGAGGACAGGTATGTGTGGAGGAGGGGGAGTGATGGACAGAGGACAGAGCACTGGCTCCCTCTCCTTGGATCTCCCCCTCACCCCCGACCCACCATCCTCACTCCTGCAGAGTGCTCCAGCTGTTTCTGTCTCGAACGGCGCAGCGGGGCCCCCACCTGAGCAGTGGGCGGCTGCTGCGGCGTCTGGGGATGCTCCTGCTGGTAGTGCTGGGCTTCCTGGCTGTGTGGACGGTGGGGGTCCTGGAGCGAGGCATCCTACACACGCCCCTGGTGATCCGAGGCCACACTCCCACGGGCCGCCACTTCTACCTCTGCCACCATGACCGCTGGGACTATATCATGGTTGTGGGTGAGTTGCTTCTGCCTGAGCCGTCTCATCTTGGCCCCGGGCTCTGCCCCACCATGGTCCCCTGGTCCTGTTCCTCCTACCTTGTACCCAGACCCCTGGCCCGTGCTCCCCACAGCAAGCTCTACTGAGAAAGGGGCGGCCTGGCTGCTGAGGTGGTGCCGGCTCTGTCCCTTCCTGCTTCCCCACAGCGGAGATGCTGCTCCTGTTCTGGGGCAGCTTCCTCTGCTACGCCACCCGAGCTGTGCCCTCGGCTTTCCACGAGCCGCGCTACATGGGCATCGCCCTGCACAATGAGCTGCTGCTCTCCGCTGCCTTCCACGCAGCCAGGTGAGGATGGGCCCGCCCACCCACCACTCATTCCCCCCTAACACTGCTCCTCACCTCTCCCAGATGAGGGAACCTCCATCCCACAGCCATTCTTACAACACTGCTGTGCCTCAGTGAGGTGAGGAAGGCCGCCCACCTGTGGCTCTCTCACTACTCCCACAGATACCTTTCTGTACCCCATATCTCACCCAACGCACAAGGAGAGGAAGCTCCATCCCATCCATGCTCGGCTCTCCCTGACTTATTCCTCCTCACACCTCAGCTATCCCAGCAGCATGCCTGCTATGTGTCCATGAGGACCTGGCCCTGTGGCGGACACAGAATCCATCCACAGGACAGTCCATAACAGAGCCGTGAAGCATGAGTCTGTGCTATAGGCAGCCAGAGAAGGCAAGCTGGAGTAGTCTGGGAGGGCTTCTCAGAGGTGGAAGTTAACCTGAGCCCTGAGGTAGTACCTACATCTTAGAGAGGGCAGGAAGGAAAAAGAATACCCTCTTCACCCCACCCAGCACCTCCATGGAGGTCAGGGCTGGGGCTAGGGAAGAGAGCTAGTGAGACATGTGAGAGGGAAGAGGCCACGGCTGCCCACAGCTAAGGACCCCCTCCCGCCACACTCTCAGGTTTTTGCTGGTTCCTTCTCTGCACCCAGACTGGACCCTCCTCCTCTTCTTCTTCCACACTCACAGCACAGTCAGCACCACCCTGGCTCTGATCTTCATCCCTAAGGTGAGATCTTCCCTGTCCTGGATGTAAGGCAGCGCCCCCTGCCCCCCGCCCCCCGCTCCTTTGTAAGGAGCACTGTGGATCTGCTGCTGCTGCTGCTGTAACGCCCCCTCTGAGTCGGGGTGAGGATGATACCTCGGGGGTGAGTGGGTGCTGATCATCAGGGCCCTACTCAAGGAAGCTACTATCTCTCTGCCTCCAATCCCTGGACAAGGGAAGTAAGAACTAGGGCTGGAAGGGTCCTTGTAACACAGTTTGAGGGTTGGCGAACTCTGAAAATCAATACAGAAGCAGTTACAGCGGGAGAGGTGGGGGAGCTGAAGAACATAGCTAAGAATTGTGGGAGCAGGAGGTTGAGACCCAGTGGTCTCTGAGCTAGAGAAGGTCAGGAAGGATGAAAACAAGCAAAACTCTTCAGACCCCTGAATTCTGAATCATAAGAGGGGGTGAACGTTAATGAAGTAAAAACATATTCCATGGGGCAGGTGGAAGAGGTATGAATAGTGAGCCAAGGTGAGTCTTTTTCCCAATAATACCCATTTTCCTGGCCAGTTCTGGAAGCCGGGGGCTCCTCCTCGAGAGGAGATGGTAGATGAAGTGTACGAGGACGAGCTGGACCTGCAGCGCTCAGGCTCCTACTTCGACAGCAGCATCGCTTCAGCCTGGAGCGAGCGCAGCCTGGACACTGGAGACATTCGGGTATGTGATGCCCTCCCCGCCTCCTTCTGGCGCTAGCTTTCTGGACCTGGGCAGGGAGCACTGATGCCCTGCCCCTGGCTTTCCCTCTCTTCTTGCCTCCCTCCCTTCTCCATCACTGCCCTAAGCTATTCAAAGGAGGCCACTCACCACCAAAAGTCCCAGAACCCAGACCCCAAAAGTCCCAGAACCCAGAGCCCTGAGGCCCAGGGCACTTGGCAAGTTAGAGGCAGAGCCATGAATAGAGCTCTAATCCCCACCATGTTCTTCGCTTCTACACAGCAGGGGCATCACAAGGGGCGGACTAAGAAGCCCCTGAGTCCCCAGCATACTGGGACAGTTGGTGACACCAGGACCAGTTGGGGCTCAGCAGTTAAGGCAGTGAGTGGCTACCAGGGGTTTCCACACCAGGATCCCCTTTCTCAGGAACCCTAATGAGAGGCTCAGTGGGTAGTAAATTAGGAGACCTGGCAGTCTAAACCCAGTTTCATAAAACTCGCAGTGTAGGAACAACCCCAGGAAGCCATTTTGTCCATCCCCTCCCCTTGCACTGGGGCCTATTTCCACACCTGACTCGTTTACATCTCCCAGTTCCTTCCTTGTCCCAACTACCTCTGCCTCTTTTTCCCCCTGGTGTCCTCCTCACCCTCTGAGCTCTGCCTGCCCTGCCTCCTGCCCCCTGGATATAGGCTGAACTGAGACCCCAATCCAGCAGGGGGGCCAGAGACTGTGAAGGCCACTGCCACAGCCACATCACCCCTGGCCCTCCACTTTGTAGAGTAGCAGCCAGTCTCTCTCTATGCTGCTCTGGGAGAACTCCAACACATAAATCATTCCATTATTTACGCCTGAATATGGCACTTTTCGTGTTCACTAGTCCCATCAATCTCATATAATCCTCTTAAGGAAGCTAATACTAGGCAGCCGGATATCATTATTTTAGAGAAGCAGAGACCTAGAAGGTCAAGAAAATAGCCTCAAGGCACACGATGGGTCTGCAGCCTCGAACCCATTTCTTGTCCCCCAAACTGGTGATTTCCCCACCTGACCACAGTGCTCCAGAGAAGGGACTGCACGCTGCCTCCTCAAGGTTGAGTGGGTCCGAGTGGGAACCAGGTTGGCGCTGGTCTTGGGGGAATGGAGAGGAGGAATTCACCTCTCCATTCCTCCAAGACCAGGTTTTGATTTAAAAGCAAGAAAGGGACACAGCTTGGTGGGAAAGAGATCCCCCAGAGAAAACGATCTAAATAAGGGCTGAGGGGGAGAACAGTGGAGCCAGGGGATGGAGAAACTTAGCCCATCCATCTCAATGTCAGCTTTGCTTTCCCTGCCCTTCCCTCCACCTAGGATGAATTAAAGAAGCTCTACGCCCAGCTAGAGGTCCACAAGACCAAGGAAATGGCTGCTAACAACCCCCACCTGCCTAAGAAGCGGAGCGGCTTGCGCCAGGGCTTGGGCCGCTCCTTCATGAGGTACCTGGCTGAGTTCCCTGAGGCCCTGGCCCGGCAGCACTCCCGGGACTCCAGTTCCCAGGGCCGCAGCAGCCTGCCCGGCTCCTCTCGCCGCCGGCTCCTCAGCTTCAGCCTCCAGGAACCGGAGGGGCCACCGGCCCTGCGCAAGTCCCGTAGCACCTATGACCGCGACCACCACAGGGAGCAAGAGCCGCCTCTCCATGACTCACTGCTGAAGAGGAAACTGGCCAAGAAGGCCCCGCGGGGAGAGAGCCGTGAGTCATTAGAGGGGCCCCCTGCCCTGGGCTTCAGGTCAGCCAGCGCCCACAACCTGACGGTGGGAGAGAGGCTCCCCAGAGCCCGGAGCACTTCCCTGCAGAAGTCGCTCAGCGTCATGGCCGGCTCCAGGGAAAAGGCTCTGCTTGTGGCCAGCCAGGCCTACCTGGAGGAGACCTATAGGCAGGCAAAGGAGCGAGAGGAGAGGAAGAAAGCAGAGGCAGCCCTAGCAAGCCCAGTTCGGAGGCTATCGTCCCGGAGGCTTGAGCGAGGTCGGGGGGCCCCTCTGTCAGCCCCGCCTTCCCCTGCCAAAAGCAGCAGCGTGGACAGCTCTGGGAAGCTTCAGGCGGAGGCTGTGAGAAAGCTGCCTCACCCTCCCATCCAGCACCAGATCTCCACACCCATCATGACCCTGTCTGCGGCCTGCCTAGGAGAGCCAAGGATGCTGTCTCCTACCTCCACCTTGACTCCAGCTCTCATACCAGCTCCACCCCTGGCCCCAGCTCCTACCCTAGCACCAATCCCAATACACCCCCAAAACCCTAGCTTACTCACCTTTATCTGCCCATGGGAGAATGCAGAACTGCCAGTCAAGAAAGAAAATGTGGTTCAAGAAGGCCCTTCAGGGCCAGAGCAAGGCAACCATTCCCCTGCCCCAGCTCGGGCTAGGCTTTGGAGGGCCCTCTCTGTTGCAGTAGAGAAAAAGGGTGCTGGAGAGAATGAGATGAACGCAGAGGACAAGTGTCTCCAGGGGGAAGCTGATAATGTGGATGAGGACAAGCCCAAGGCCTTCTCTAAATCTCATAGCCTCAAGACCCCTGTTCAGCAGAGTTCTGTGCGTAGCCTGGGACTGGCTATCAAAGCTTTGACCCGTTCTCGGAGCACACACAGAGAGAAGGAGAGCGGGGAAGAAAGTTCTGAGAAGGAGAAGGGCAGAGTTTCAGGAGAGGGTGTGGGGGCATGCCCCAGATCCCCCAGGGTAGGTGGGCGCAAGGTGATGAGTAAGCAGGCTGCCCTTGCCCCCTGCGAAGATGAGGAGTCCCTCCAGAACCAACAGAATGCTCACACCAGCAGGATGCTCCAGGTGGGCAATAGGGAACAAGAAGACAGAGGCAGGAGGACATCCCAAGGTCAAGGGAATGGGAAAATTGAGAGAGCAAGTAAAACAGGGCCTATCACACTGAGGCAAGTCAGGCAAGGCACAGTTGGGGACAAAAATGCTGACCGAGCAAAAGAAGCCCCTGTAAGGAGGCAGGAATTGCTCAAAGCTGGCCTCCAGCCCCTGGGCAGTGTTGACTGCAAGGTGGCAGAGGTATGCCCCTGGGAAGTCGCCGAGTCAGAAACGTGTCAGCCTGACAGTAGCAACAAGGCTGAAATCTGTCCCTGGGAGGTGAGTGAAGGAGCCACTGAGAGGGGGGCATTAGGACAAGATATAGATGGCTCCCAAGAAGAGAGGGGGAAAGCCCCGGAAGAATCAGAGCCCAAAGATGTGGTTGCCATTACTCAGAAAAAGTCAGAGAGGCTGCTCAGAGGGCAGGAGGCAGTGTGTCCCTGGGAGAATGCTGATTCTGGGAGTCTGTCCCCTCAGTCAGCCCATCAGGACTCTGACAGAACCAAGAGCAAGTCTGAGGCAGGGAGCAGTGTGGAGGCCAGGGAGGTGAAGTGTCAGCGAGAAGTCACAGGCCCAGAAGCTTGTACACCTGCCATGGCCAAGGCAGAGCTGTGTCCCTGGGAGGCAAGTGAAGGAGAGAATGAGAAACTGTCCCAGGAACGGGTAAAGAAGCTCCCCCAGGAGAAGCAGAAAATCCCCAAGAAAGCAACTTTCTGGAAAGAACAAAAACTGGGAGGAGACTTGGAGTCTCTTTGTTCATGGGAGAGCACTGATTTCCGTGGCCCCTTGGCAATCTCTACTGAGGCCCCAGGAAGCCCCGAGTGCTCGGGGAGTTTGAGCAGGAGCCTCGCGGAGGTGTGTCCGTGGGAGGCAGGAGAGGCTCCTGCTATCCAGAAAGCAGAGATCTGCCCCTGGGAGCTGGGTGATGAGGTAGTGGGAAAGGAAATACTGTGTCAGGAGACAGGTGGAGAACCTCTCCAGGAAGAAGGGCAAGCTTCCAGAAAAGCGATGGGGGAACAGACTGAGAAAGCAGGGCAAACACCCAGTCTACGGCAGGAACCAGTGTGTCCCTGGGAGAGCACAGCCTCTGGGCACCCTAGCCCATGTGTAGACGATTCCTCATCCAGACCTAGTGGCCAGCTCCTCAGCGACGGAGGGAGCAGAGCCACTCAAGTGTGTCCACGGGAAGACATAAGGCCAGAAGTAAAGGCAGAAATCTGTCCCTGGGAGATAAATGAAAGAACAACAGAGGACCAGACATCAGAACAGGCACACCAAGGAGGAGACTCTCAAAAGGATGAAGAGAAAATGCCTGAAACATCAGGAATAAAAGGCGTCACATCTTGGGAAAAACCTGAGGGACAGATCCAAAAGCAGGAAGCAATCTGTCCTTGGGAGAGTGTGGACCCTGGCAGCTTCCCCCTACAACCAGGTCCTCAAGACACGGACAGACCCAAAGCCAGTTTCCAGGTGTCAGGCAGTGTGGGTAGCATAACTGCCGCAATCTGTCCATGGGACATGGAGGACACCCTGCCTGCTGCAAAGGCAGAGATTTGTCCCTGGGAGGTGAGTCCTGGCACAGGGGAAGAACGGGATTTGGGAGTTGAGGCCATTAGGAAATTGCCAGTTGTTACAGGAAAGGCTTCTGCAGATTCTGGACCTGGTGAGATAGCTGTTACTGCTCCAAAGAATTTGGAGAGGCCAGCCCGGGAGTGGGAGGTGGCCTGTCCCTGGGAGGGTATGGATCCAGGAGCCTCCTCTCAGCCTCCTGACACTGTGGACACTGACAGGCCAAAAGCTGGATTACAGGAAATAGACCATGTGGGGTGCAGGCCAGCTGAAGTGTGTCCCTGGGAAATGGAGAAATCGTCTACCAGTGAAAAAGCCAAGATCTGTCCCTGGAAGGTGAATGAAGGACCTACTGGGAAGGGAATGGAACAAGAGATGGGGGATGATTCAGCAGGGCAGAAGGAGAAAACTCTAGAAAAGGGGAGACTCACCAACCTGGAAAAAGACATATCAAAAGGGGAGACAAAGCTGAGTCAAGAGCAAGAAGCTATTTGTCCTTGGGAGAAGGACTTGAGGGAACCCGATGCTCAGGCCCCTGAGGTCTCAGACTTGTCCAGCAGCATAAGAAGCAAAGCAGCAGAGAGGCATTCTTCGGAGGTCAGTGATGAGGCAGCAGAGAAAGGGGACCTGACACGAGACCCCCAAACCGGCTCTGTCCAAGAACACATAACCCAGGAAAAAGCTCCATCTTCTAAGGCAGAAGTCACTACTGAAGATGGGGGAAAAGCAAGCAATCAGCTACAATCTATCTGTCCATGGGAGAACACGGCCCCGGCAAGCTCTTCCTCCAACCCTGACAGTCAGTGCCCTGACCAACTAAAAGCTAGCTCTCAGAAACCGGCCAGTGTTGGGGACAGGCATGCTGAGGTGTGCCCATGGGACACTCCTGCCCCAGATGCTCATCCATCTGACAGCAGTGCCAAAGCAGAAATCTGTCCCTGGGAGATGACTACAAGAATCCCCGAAAAAGGGGTGTCAAGACAGGATGAAAAAGGGGAACGTCAAGAAGAGGAGAGGAAAGCCCCAGAAAAACCAGAGCCCAAAGTCATGGCAGTTCCGGAAAAGCCAGAGAGAGCAGAAAGGAAGCAGGAGGCTGTGTGTCCCTGGGAGAGTCAAGATAGTGGAGGTCTGTCTCCACAAACAGCCCCACAAGCTTCTGACAGAAGCAAAGGCAGTCCTGAGGCAGCAGGCAGTACAGGGGCCAGCGTGGCAGAAGTGTGTCCGTGGGAAGCAGAAGTGCCTTCTGCCAAGAAAGCAGAAATTTGCCCTTGGGAAGTGAGTCAAGCAGTAGCAGAAGAAGGGGGCCCAGAGCAGGTGGAGAGAGAACTCCAAGGGCAAGGAGAGCTGTTCCTTCAAAATGCAGGGTCTGGATGGACTGAAGAACACTTTTCAAAAGCAGCAGCAAAAGGCAGCAGAGAGCAGGAGATGGTCTGCCCCTGGGAAGGCACGGGGTCGGGAAGGCTCTTCTCCCAGCCAGAGGCTGCAGACACTGACCAACCCAGAGTCAGTCCCCACGGAGCAAGCAGTGTGGGGAACAGAATGGCAGAGCTGTGTCAATGGGAAATCACAGATCCAGAAGGAAATAAAATAAAGGGTACTATGGCAGACATCTGTCCTTGGGAGGGAACTGGAGACCCATCTGAGGAATCTGGCCTCCTGGCTTTAACAGCAACTCGGACAGAAGTATTTTTCTCCACAGCCCCTGAGAACCCACCATGCCTTTCAGTCCAGAGACCTTTGGGTGGCTCCCTTCCAGAAAGCAAAAGTCCCCGCCCCAAAGTGAGCAAGCCAGCCAGTACTTCTACTCTGGAAGGTGTCAGAGAATTACAAGGACTTTCAGGACTTGGGCCAAGGACCAGCTTAGCCCCAGGGCCAAGTCTCCAAGAAGCTGAGGCTCAGAAGTCTTCTTCCCTAACCGAAGACCAAGGAGAAGTTACTTCCAAAGTTCCACATGAAGAACTCGCCTCTCCAACTGTCTATCCTTGGGACTGGGAATAATAACTCCCAGTTTGAACTTGGGTTAGGTCAAACATCAGGTGGCTGGCTTTCAGGAGCCAAGGTCCTTTCCATGTCCTAGGTGTTCCCAAAGAGCTGAGTCAAAGACACTTGTCCCCTTTCTCTCTAAGAAGGCCAGAAGTCAATTCACTCAAAGACAGATTGTACAAGAAGGATGCAGCTCAGACCCCAACAGGAAATCCTATGTTCTCTTTACTTCCAATTCTTCCTGCTTCAGGGAACGAAGGCCAGGCCCTCTGCTTCAAACGTATTCTCCCATCCAGCAAGAGTACTCAACACAAGCCATCTGTCTGGACACGTGAAAAGCCAACGTTAGGGATGAAATGAAGTCAGTAGCACCCCACCCATATTTTCTCACAGGGAGACCCTATTCTTTTCTGAAGTCAACAAAGGACTATTTTTTTCAAGAAGAAACTAACGATACAGGCCACTGGCACATATGGACTGAGGATCATACAAGGCTATAAAGGTCACCATAGGAAGCTTAAAAAGCCACTTAATTCAAGTTCAAATATAAATCACGAAAAAAACTTAAATGGCTCAAAAGAGGTACCTGAAATGCCTTAAAGACCTTGTCATTTTGACTTTGGATCTCTGGTTTATCGATCCTCATACCTGACCTGCTTGACTATTGAAGCAGAGCCAATCAAGCACTCTTACATCCATGTCATCTGGCATCCAAAGTAACATTAGACAGAGACAGAGCAGAGAAGAAAAGGCAATAACTCTAGATCTTCCCTCTGCTGGCCAAGGTCAAGTTCTCTCTCCCAGACATCCTGTCTCCTACTTTAAGAAGTATGCCTCTTTCTAGCTTTTTCAGATAGCCTCCCCTTCTTTCTGCCCTATCTTTTGCCAGTCTCCTGAGTTCATCTCACTGGCTCGTTTTTCTCCTGGCCTTTCAGTGCTGACATCAAAGGGTCCATCTCTGTTGTCAATACAATTGGAGCCAGAGGAATCTCTAGTTCTCAAGCGAGAACCAGACCAAATCACTTGCTCAGTAACAAGAGGCCCACATCAGTCTCCTTCCCAAGAAGCCTAAGAAAGGAGACCCTGTTTACAGTATAACTACCCTCAGAAGGAGTAGAGCTACAGGGCAAGTTAGAGGCCTAAGGGCCAAGGAAAAGGCATCATGTAAGTACAAAGACTTCTTTCTTAGGGAGTTTACTCTCATTCTTAGCTCTCACTTAGTTCAACTCTATTCTCTTAAGTCAGTCCAGGCTACACTTACTTAAGCAATCCTAGATAACAGAGTACTGGAGTTAGATGAATCGTACCAGAGGAAAATGAGGAAGGAGGAAAACATTGGTCAAAGAAGTCCCAGGATCAGCAGGAGTTGAGTGGGAGTGGAAGCAGGCAGGCTACACATGGCAGAACTGGGCGGGGGCACTGCAGATGGGAGTAAGCCTACTTACTAACTGGACAGATAGTGATGTCATTCACGGGGAGGAAAAAGACAAAACAATGGGCTCAAATACCCATTGGGAAAATGCGTCTGCATGTGAACACTCTGGGCAGCCACAGGATGTCACAGAAAAAGTAGCAAGTGCTCCATTTCCAGAAAGGAGGAGGAATGGAGTAACCCACTTTTTAGGGACCAATGCCCTTATTCCCACATCTAGCCCTGCCACTTACCCAGTTCCCTTTCCCCGGCCTTTCAGAGAAGTAACTAAAGTGTGTTTTTGCTCTGGGCTCTGGCTAGTTAACCCCATAGTTTCTGAGCCAATGCGAATTTTGCTAACTGCACACCTCAGAACAATCCCATCAAGTCTGGTCTAGTTGGGAACAAAAATGTTGTCCCTGTATCCACTGTTGGGAAATAAACCATGGGGAAAAAAAAATAAAGAATACTAATGCTTTTTTCTGACTGTGGCAGTTGGTTCTAGCTTATTACGGTGATTTTTTTTTCGTTTTTAAACAAGAACAGGAAAGAAAAACAATGACGGCGCTAGAGCCCAAGGTAACTACATTGCAGCCTTCAGGAATTCGGTGGTCTGATTCTCAGCCAGTGGCTGGCAGTGCAGATGGCCTCTGCCTGGTCCTTCTAGCCAGTCCCTTACATCTGGGCCATTTGCTCAGCTGGATTTGATCCCAAGGGGAAATGAAAATTGCACTTATCCTCTGGCTCCCTGGTGGCAGCTATTGCTTAGCCGCTATTTGGGATTATCTAAAGATCCCAGAGACAAATCTAGGGGAGTGGGGTGAAGTAGCTTATTTGAAGCACTGTTTTTATATATTCAGAGAAATCAATGTGTCATTTGCCCAGTAAGTGTGCTTTTTTTCTCTGCTTTCCTACTCAACTTGGATAATCTCCCTTTACTCCTTATGGCTGTAGATCCTGTTCAAAGCACTTCCCATCTCATTTTGCCTTAATCTGGGGCTCACACAAATAGGATATGACCAAACCTCACTTGGGCTTCAAACTGATGTACATTTTAAGCCAAAAGCGTTGAAACTAAGTAGGATGATGAGAGTGGCTGCTTTGGATTAACCCACCGGTGCTGCCTCTTCCCTAGGCATACACATCTTGTCTCCACAGTCAGCACTCAGCAGCTGTTGTAAAGACATCCATTTTTCCCAGTGAGGCCTGGTCTGTTTGCTGCTTTGCTGAGATGGTAGCTTTAGAGATAGGGCAGTTAAGTTATCCTCAACCTGATTCCAGTTTCTTTGGACTCTACTCTCAGGACAAGGTCAGAACAGATTAATCCTTAACCCTAAGTGACAGACTCCTTAAAAAATCCTAAGCTTGAAAAATAGTGTAAGAATTCAGGTCCTGTTTTTTAAGGGGAGCCCACACTAGGCTGACAAAAGCAATAAGCCAAGTCTATTACTGGTACAGAGTGATTTTCCTTGTCATACCTCTGATGACCCAGGATACATGGGCATGTGAAGCCCCACTTCCTCCTTCTGACAGCCCAGATGGAGTTAAGGAACAAGGAAAGGCTGGGCTGTTTCATTCTACACAAGTCCATACCCTGGTGCCTTTGCCTTCCCAGTGCTGCGCTGGAAAGAATAGTCACTATCTCCAAAAGGTGATAGAAATCAAGGAACCAGGTCTTACAGATGATCTCCCATATGTATCAACTCCTCCATGGCCCGTCTCCTCCCATGTTTCCTTGGATCACACCGGGATGCAGCCGATAATTAAGAACACAATCCAAAGGCTGAGGGATAAATGATTTCTTTGGATTTACATTCTTCTTTGACATATAAATGCTAACTGAGTCAGTGTTTGAGAAAAGACTCTCTTAAATGACACCATCTTTTATAAACACTAATTATTTTTTCCAAGTCTGGATTTCCTGGAAGTCACACCACTCACCATTAAACCTGTCTTCCATTTCTGCCATTTGAAAGCTGGTCTACTTCTAGCCTAAACCAGGGGAAATGGACAGAACTCACCACATTTATTCAACATTTTGACAGTGTTTTATTTCAAACTCTGCCCCCTATCCTGTGATAAGAAAATTCTGCTGGTTTGCTCCTGACAGTCCCTTCTGCAGAAGTAATTGGTATCAGATGTTCTCTGAAACATACTGTCTTTCATCTCGACCCAGAAGCTAGATATAAAACCTAAAAAAGAAGAAATGGGTCCATAGCTATGCACAGCAGCAACTTATCTGGGATTAGCCATCAGTCATGGTTGCTGAAGATGATACTGCTAAAAAGACTCAACAAGAGAGAACACAGGTAGTTCTTTCTACTGCATGATAGAGATGGGTGACTTTACAGTTCCCAGACTCCCAGACGTCATGGCTCCCAGCCACCTCATGACCCCTGCTTTACTCCAGGAATTATTTTTGCCATCAGACTAGCTTCTGGGCCTCTCCTTGTGGCTCTTCATAGTCTTCCCAGGGTTTCAGCTGGGGGCCAGGGATCATCACCGTCTACAAGAGCAGGAAGCTGAGTTATCTACCACCCAAGCCCATGGCTTGCTCACCCACCTCCATGCCTACCCCCAACAGAATTTCCTTTCCCTGGTGCTGCATCACCTCCTCTCTCCACAAGGTGGAGCCCATCCACCTGGTGGCTTAGGATGCCATCAATACTGTTTCAGCTCAAATCACCACACAAGCTATCTTACCTTAAGGATGGGCTCCTTAGGGGGAGCCCATGAGGGGATGATCTTGCCATGCATTCTCCAGCTCCCATAGGGGTTTGTCAGGTGCTTTTCAAAGACCACATACTCCAGGACATCCTTGGGCACATCTTCTTGTCCATACATCAATCTGCCAAACCGGTCATAGATGGCCAAAGTCTGCAAGGATAAAAGCAAAGCTGGCCTGTTAGTTTTCAGAGTTGTTCTGTTTTGCTTTTGTTTTGTGTTTTGTTTTATGGGCATTTTTGTTTTTGCCATACAACCATTATTGAAACAACCATAACAAAACATTTAATGGTTAGAAAATAATTATTAGAATCAAAAGATCTCAGAATTCTGAATGCAGACTAACTGATCAGCTACAGACACTTTAGTCTTTTTTTTTCTTTCTCCTCTTTAATTCCACTCCTCCCCCCACTTCCACCCCTGACCTATGGATGTTGCCGTCTCCCCTTAAGAACTGGATCTCTGAGGGTGGGGCGTCTCCTCCCACATGGTCGCTGTGTGCACCTGGTGCCAGGTGCCCCCGGGGCATGATGCCCCCAGTGCACTCGGGGGGCCTGGCACACCTGAGGGGGCTGGTGCACCGGGGTATGGTCCATGGCTTCACCTGGGGCATAAACCCAGGACCTTCGCGTGTAAAGCAGACATGCTAACCACTACACTATGGAGCCACCCCCTGACACTTTAATCTTAAGAGATTTTTTTGACTAGAGAGGGAAGGAAGTGAAGACCAATAAGAGTAGGAAAGAACATCCTTGCAACTGTCTTAGTAGAGTTAACTTTGAGAAGAGGAAAGGGTGCATTGACAGAGCAAGGACCACCACAGTGAACCTTTCCTTAGAACTCACAGTCCTGGCAGCTGTAGCCAGGACTCCAGAGGTAGGTGCCCAACCTGAGAGGGAAGAAAAGCTAGGAGGAAAGCAGACTGGTGCCTCTACCTGCCGGGTATGCATGCGGACGGTGACCTGGCCATACAGGTTGCTCTGGTTCAGCATACTTGAACAGCGAACCTGAACCACTTGGGGTGGCTCTAAAGATTCTACAAAGCTCCAGCGAACAGTCTTATACTTGAGATCCTCAACCATGTCCTGTGGGCAGAAGAGAATAAGTTCTGAGTTTTCCTCTCCCTTTAGGGAAGCTTGTTTCCTTTTACATCTGCTCACTTCTTGCAATACTACAGCCAACGTGCAACATTTCCCACCAAATGCTTTCCTGTGCTTTCTTTTTCACCTTCCCAAGTTTTATTAAACTATGCTTCAAGCCCACCTCACAACAACTCCCTTTTCACCTAACACAACTCAAGACAAATCTACCTCCTTGAGGATCCTTCTTCAAATCAATGAAAACCTCACTCCAGACTGCCAGCTTACCTAATACACCATTATCCTCCCATACACGTTCATAATCTGCTAATTATTGCGTGTGTTTCTGCTGACTGCTTATATGTTGCCTACCTCTTCATCTTTTAGCAGAGAACGGTGGGATTTTATAGCTAAACTGCTAAGACTAGGTTAGCTATACTTGTCTCTAGGGAGATGAGGATGAATTTATAGAAACTGAAGTTCTCATTCTTGAACCACAAAGTCCCCATTCTTGGGGGTCTCCCAAAGTACCTAGCACCCATTACCGTACAACGTAAGCCTCATGAATGCTTGTTAAATCCTTTATTATTGTGTAAGCATGTGTAGGCCGGTCTAATACCCTGATCTCAGGATCCATACCCCGAGGTTTCAGTACTGCTTACTGACAGACTTCCCTTTTTCCTCATTTGCACGGGCTTTACCAGGGTTCACGTCATTATCATTCAGCCAAAAATGATGGAACTTCAGCTTTTGTCTTAAACTTCCTGGACTTTCAAAACTGATTCTTCATAGGAAAACCAGAGGTGATATCTAGAATATACGTATTCAGCATCCCACAGTTCTAAGGATGAGAACCTACCGGAAAACAGTTTTCAGTTGCTAAGGTATGAAGTCGGTCATGGTCTGAGCTAAAAAAGAAAGAGATATATATCATTGACTCTTGCTTTTATGATATCTCATGTGAAAGGTGAAATGGCTTTGAAAATGGAAAACAATTTAATTCATTTTTACAAACATTTTCTGCACTCCTACTATAAGCCAGGTACTATGCTAAGTCCTGGGGACACAAAGATGAACTATAATATGATTTACCAGAAAATCCTGAGCTCCATAGCAAAGTTAGGTTTGAATCTCAGGAATAGAAAGAAATTTCTGAAATTATATCCCTTAGATGAGCAAGAGACCTTTAATGGGACATGGGGACTGGACTTTGTTCTAAGCTGCAACGGGAAGCAAATTCCAACACAAGTAACAATCAAAAGCTCATCTTCTCTTCTCTTACCTCAGACACATCACCAGTACCAACTAGCTTGGCCTTGTTGAACCTAGACAAAAGATAATCATCTATCTTTTCTGGCCCGTCTTTCCCTCCACCACGCCCATCTTTGCTACTGCCATAGTGACCTAGTCATGCTGATTCTGTGCAATAAAAGAAAACAGATGGCAAACCCCAGCTCCTGTACATACAAGATTTTAGGAGTATTCCTAACTGAGGGGTTTCAAATAAACCCAGAAGCACAGATTAGTTTCTTTCAGATACACATTCATGACTTTCCCT